TGTGCTCCGTCGAGTGTGCGTGTGGTGGCGTTTTGGTGTCGCCTGGAGTCCCAGCCCCTCCCCAAATGTTCACGGAGAGGAGATGAAAAGATATCTTCGTAGATTATGGGTAAGCCTGGGCTTGCTGGCAGGAGCTCCCTCTTCGTAGGAAGCAGGTGTAAAGTCTCCAGTCGGATGCAGAGCTCAGGCGGATGGATGCTGAACATTTCTTATAAACATGTGTACACATCATGATGGCGGTTGTGACGTTGGTGGCACACGATTTTAAGAGCCTGGCACCCCTCCCCCCACATCCTTCCCCTTCCCACCCCTGTCGTCACTGAAACAACAATTCTGTGTATGTTTCTTCTGGACTGTAGCTTAGCCGTTAAAGATAAGAGGGATGATCTGAATTAGTGCAGGGTGAGGAGGAGCACCAATCTATGTGCTGTGTATGTAGCAATGCACATGTGTGTGTGCAGGCAGCCATGCACATACCCCCTGCTCTGGGGACAGCAGGCAGCAGACCTCTTGCTGGAGTTCCCCTAAGGGCGGGTGCATGGGCAGTTGTTACAGATGGACCAGGGCGGGTGGGGCCCTTGGTGCCCTGTGTGTGGCGGAGTCACCAGCCAGGTAAGGCCCTGCCGAAAGCTTGCAACTGCTGGGGGCTTGCTGGCTGCTTGGAGGGGCCTGTGTTCACGATGTCTTTCCATTTCTGTCTTCTGCCCCAAATTCCTTCCCAGCAAAGCTGAGCCATGGGGAAGTTTGTCTTGGGATCAAGTGCTTCCCCCTTCACTTAACAACGATGTCCATTATTATTTGTCAAGCCTGATTTCATTGCTTCTAAATGCATTTACCAGCTGGGAGGAGGCCTGGCCTTGTAAATAAAATGTGGTTTTGTTGTAAAAGAAAATCTAACTTGTGTGTGTGTGTGTGTGTGTGTGTGTGTGTAAATACAGATTTGTCCCTGCACTTAGGAGTTAGCATTTCAGAATCCACCCCAGCCCTCTGATAGCTGACATTCGAACAAGTTGCCTGCTGCATCCATTCATTTTTCCTCTTAATGAGTCAAACATTTTAGCAATTGCTCTACTTTATTCGGCTCATAATATATTGAGAGCAGCAATATTTTGCAGGCCTGCCTGACACTTGGGGAGCTTTTCATGAAAGCAGAAATCATCTCAGAGGAGAACTTCATCTTGGCTTTATTCTTGTAAGGCCGGAGTTTGCTGGACAGGGCTGCCTGAGGGGCTGGTTTGTAGGGTCTGGGAATTTGAAAGGCTGTTTTCATGGGTCTTTTTCCTGTGCTTCTTTGTCTCTGGGTGGCAGGTTGGACCCCTCTGCCTGTAAGAACAGAGGCCTGGTTCTCTGCGGCTGTGCAGAGCCGGGAGACTCAGGTGTCCATAGGGCAGACAAAGAGGGGTGTCACTTTGCCCTTGCCAGGGCTTGGACAAATGTTTTTCTCCCTTTATTTCTTCCATTACTGATACAGTTCTAAGAAGGGACACACACACACATACACAGGCACCCTACACGCTCAGCTTGGTATCTGCCTGCCAGCGGAAATGAAACCACAATCTTTGGGGGTGTCTATGAAGGCCTTGAACATGAGCTTTGAGGCCTACTGAGCTGCCTTGGTCTACTTGCTCTGACCCAGAAATCTGGGGCTTGGGGTGACTCTGCTGCCTGATGCTGGAGCAACCTTGCTACCTTCCTGGGAAGCATTGCATATAGCAGGCCAAGGTGCAGTCCCACAGCCTGGGTGGTGGGGAGAGGAAACTCCATTCTTTGGAGTCGGGTGAACACCCTGTCATGTCAGGGGGTTCGACTTTCAGCGCTGAAAGTGGGAAGGGAAGGAGATTTTTTTTGTTTGTTTGTTTTCTTCCCGGACTGCCTTAGAGGCAGTGAGTTGGATGGCTGGTCTAGGAGGTGGAGATCCCAGCTCAGGGCTGAGCCCTGGAGCCCTGGACAATCCCGGGGCTGTCTCGGGGACGCCAGCAGGGCCTGGCACCCAGGTTGCTTGGCTGCTAGGACTTGACGCAGAAATCAGAGCTGCAGCCCAGCAAACAGCTTTGGACACCTTCAAACTCAATTACGGGGCTTGCAGAGCTGCTGCATGAGGAAAGGGAAAAGGCAGAGGCTGCCAAAAGAAGGAAAGAATACCAGATGTTACCAAAAAAAAAAAAAAAAAAAAAAAGGAGAGAAAGGAAAAAGTGCTGGTACATAGTCTTGGCAAAAGAGGGAGCTGGGAAGAAGGGGTGCTTGTGAACAGGCATGTGTGACCTCTGCTGATTTTTAAATTCGTCGGCATTTCTTTTGAATTAGAAAGTGAATATGAAATTATGTGGCTGACAATCTCCTAGCAGAGAGGAGATATTCAGGCTTGCTGGCACTCCTACCCACGAGGGTGGACGAGGCCGAAAAAGTTAATAAAACACAAACAAAAATGTAAACCAAAGATTAAATTTTTAAAAACCAAGAAAACCTCTTCGGCCTCAGAAAGGACGATTGAGTTGGCCATGTGGATTTGTTGTTGTTTATCAAATCTTCTATTGCTGCAGGAGTTTGCCACGCCTGCCCAGGGTGGCATTTAACATAGTACCAGGTACTGCACCTTGCTTGCGTCCTTTGAATTCTTGATTTCATTATGTCCTGTTTTTGCTTTTCAGCTCATTTCTTTTGTGCCTCTCTCTCTATTTTTTAACTAAACAATATTTTGACATCCTCCTCCCATTTATTAGAGCGCCTTCTGTAAAAATGGCGCACAATACATCCTTATATTTCTAAAGAACTGTTCCTACAGCTCTCCCCTTTGGCTCTGAAATTATGTATATGTAATTGGTAATTAAAGGTGCGAGCTTTTCAATATAAACAGTATTGCTCAATGTTAGATCATTAAAGGGAAAAAGAGGCACCAAATAATTACCTTTTCCATTCTGACAAACCGTTCACAGGAATCCAGTCTCTCCTAGAACCTCTGTTCAGAGGGAAGGTTGTGATTACGTTTTAACCATAGCAAAGCATCTTTTCATAAAATAAATTGGTAAATTAATTACGTGGCATTGTCTTCAAGCCCCTTTTTAAGTAAACTCTGATTTCTTTTTAAAGTGTAATTAATGGTTTCTGGGACGGGCTTTGTGAGGACTGTTGCTTTACCTTGTAGGTTCTTTTTGTTAGATGCAGACAACAGATTTAGGATTTCCTCGTCTGCGGGGCGCTTTTGTACTGCCAGATTTCTGATGTATTCTACATTTAATTCGTCGAGGGCTCTGTCTGCTTTTCTGTAACCACAGGTGGGATCTCAAATTGTAGTTTCTCTTCTTAGCACTACCTACGTCGCTACCTATCCACGCGGAGTTCATGGGCGTGCATTGTACGTCACGTATCGTCGTATATTTCGTATTCAGTTTCACACAAGGACTCTCCTAGGCCCTGCATCAGCTCGTGTTCAGAAAATAGAGAACAGTGATTTATGTGTAGGATGGGAGATGCCACAGAATTTTTTCCTTAAATTATCTGTTCTTTGGCTCTGGCACTTCAATAACTTCACTGCCACGGAATGCATTTTCCTCCCTCCCGTTCCTTCTCGCCGTTCCTCTGTGGTTTTCATTATCCTTTCCTAAATACCATACAACTCAAAAGGTACCTGCTTCCTTGGGTTTCAGACCTTTGGCTGCCCTCTGGCTTCTCTGAAGACCCCGCCACTCGTGCCTTCTCTGCAACTACTGACATTTGCTCTTGAAAAATTCCAGCCTGAATTTGCTCAGACCCCGAGGGGAATATGAAACCTCCACAGTGTCCACTGCTCTTTATTTGTGACACTTTTGGCTGCCGAGTCTTCCAATTTTCCCTTGAGGAGGTTGCTGCTTTTTGAGGCATTTATTAGCTTCCAAATATTTGGGTCGTAGACGTCCTACCCCTCCAGCAACCCCCTCCCCCTGCCAAAA